CACCGAACCCTAACCTTAGCCCCCAGCCTCCCACCGAAGAAGAAGAACCAATTGCCGGAGAAGGGAGCCAACTGCCGTGCCGGAGCCAACTGCCGTGCCGGAGCCACCTCTAACCGCTAAAAAAAGTAAAAATTCTCATATCTGCTTGAATTTTGATTTCGAGTACCTTCATGGTCAAATTGGAGCAAAAGCAATGGCGGACAAAGCCCTGAAGCACCGTCGCGGGCAAAACCCGCAACCTCCTCCGATGAGCCCCTTTCTGTTTTTCATTTCGTGCGATTTTTCTACCGTTGTGTTCACCGTTCTATTTTCTACAGGTTGACTAAAGAAAAACGCCCACCCACGAAGGTGAGCCGGTAGAGCCACCGCAACAGAAAATTTCAGCATCGGTAGGTTTTTGTTTCTTAATTTTTTCAGCCAACCAAGGCTCCCTATTTGTGTTTTCTTGCAGAGATGGTTATAAAACCGGCTGAAACTGGCCAAAACTGAATTTAAACGGCCAGGCCGAGGCAAAACACCACCGTGGGTGGCAGTGTCGTCGTGCCAGAACCCCAAAATTGGTTGAAATAAGATTTTTAACACCAATTTTAGATTTTTAGGGTATTTTAGGTACGTAAAGTGTGTTTTAATCTTCACAGAAAAATTCAGAAAACTTGAAAACTGCCAGTAAATACAGTAAAAAGTTCAGTATTTCGAACACCGATTCAGGTAAGAATCCCTCACCTTATTCTCTGTTATGGAATTAGAGTTTAATAATCGATAATATGATATTTTGTGTAATTTAAAAAACTTTAAGAATAATTACAAGTTATTAATGGGGTCAGAACTGGTTAGTTGTTCATTTGTCATGTTTAACTGATTGTTGAATTTACAGCTTTAAATACATTATGATATACTGGAATGGTTAAATGATTCAGTTGTGATTTCTTGATACATATATTGCTTGTCTTGCATGATATACGGTTGATTTGTGAAATTGAAAATTAATATGCAAACGAAAAATTGTTTGGTCAAGTGAATTAATTAATGGTAGTCTTACTGGGTATGCTGGGAGATGGTGGACCGAGTACATAAAGAACCTTACCGTGAACGTTACCTCATACCGAACGGGGTATCTAAGAATGGTATTTTTGGCACTCATACCAGACGGGGTATGGAAACGGCCCGATTCACCCTCATGTCAGATGAGGTATTGAGATATGGTATTTTTGGCACTCATATCGGATGAGATATGGGGACGACTAGTTAGTTGATAATGTTGGATATTGGTTCACGAGTAGTGAGACATTCCTATAGGCCCACAGGAATACCAATAGGCAAATAAAAATAAAAAGTTATTATTCTTACTCACTTGAATATGATATTAGAATGTTATTTGAATTATTTTCTATAGGTCGATTTTGAAAATCTCACAAATTGTAAATATATGTAATAAATGATTTTCATTATGATAAATGAATTTGCTTAAATCAAGTACTCCATTAGTTGTTTTTATGATTTTTACCAACTTTCAGTTTCTGTATCGGTGAGTAGAGTGATATTCTTATTAGGTTAGTGTAGCTCACTATTTCATTAACTATTTCAAATCAAGAGGTCACAGATCCAGATCCCGATCAACAAGAGGGTTGTGAATAGTTCGCCACCCGGACTCCCTTCAAAAGGTAGAGAAAGTCGTCCTAGAATGCTCAGTTATTTGTCTTTTTCCTTATTTATTTTTTATTTTCGTTCTTTAGAAGGGAGATTCTGGTAATAGTATTGGGCATCGAAATTATAGTGTAAGAAATGTAAACCCTAAACTCTATTATTTCATTTCCGTATTTAATTTATAACTTCATTTCCTTTTAAGTTCTGCGCTTCTACATCAGTAATTTAAAATCAAATGACAAAGATAATAGTAAATATTAATTTTAATTTGATTAATTACCAATTACAGGTAAGCAATATACAGAAAGATTAATCTTCATAGTTATCACCCCTTGTATGGCCAAATTACTAAAGTACTATTTATTTCATTAAATGTTAGATTTTCCCTTGTTAGATGGGTGAGCTTTACTTTCTTCAAAATTGCCACTTTGAAATATTAATAGAAAAAGTTATTCAGATATGCATAACTATTTATGTCAAGAGTTATAAAAAAAAAAGAATGTTGAAAATGAAGTAACTTGAAACTCAATAAAGAGTTGAAGAAAAAAAGTACTCATTACTATGTAAAAACTTTAAGTGAAAAAGTTTAAGACACTAAACTCTGTTTAGGATGAGAGTATAATAGCCAAGAAAAACACAAAAAAGGGAAGTAAGAAGAAAAAATATTTATGTAAGTAAATTATGGCAAAAATATATTATGAGCTCCTGTACAATTTATTTTTTTCATGCCTCTATATCATTTTGAATTTAATTTAACTTTGTATGTTCAATTTTTTATCGATTCGGCTATTAACACTAATTATCATCTGGGGAGCCATCAATCGTTGGACACATAATCGATAATGCATCAAAATTATAGCATATTAATTATGATTTAATATATGATATGATAAAGTTGATAATTAATACCGATGATTTAATTATTAAAAATTTGAAAGTACAGAGTTAAATAGATCAAAAAATTAGTAAAATGTCTCAAATAAAAAAAAACAAATAAGATAAGAGTTCATAGGATATATTAGCTACTTCTTTTTTCTATTTTCTAGCTTTTGTTAATTCAAATTGCATAGCAAAAATAATGAGAATTGGAAAATAAAAGGTATATATTTTATGCAGGGTTAACATTTGTATAGGATTTGGACAAGAAATTACAACAATTTTTTAATATTAAATTTTTTAGTTTATTAAGTTGTTCCAACAAAAAAATATATTCGTCAAAGAATATTCTCTTTATTTGAATATATTATATCTTGTTGGAATTACTATACACTCATCTAATATATTAATAAATTAAATTGTATATTTTACTAAATTAAATATTATAAATTAAAATATTCAGGAAATGATAAATACTAAATGAAACATAATCCAAAAACAAAATTATGGGTTGCATCTATCTTTCTTTCTCTTTGTAAAGCTTTTTTCGGTGAAGTCTTTAAGAAAAAAATAACGAGGAATAAGAGCCATTGTAATAGAAACTCCGAAACATGTTCTAGTTCTAAGAAAATTTTCATTCATTATTAAAGACTTATAACTATTTAGATAGTTTTTTTTTTCATATAATCTTTTTTAACACTCTTCTATATTTTAATAATCCTATAAACTCAGGTGGCATATAATAAGAAAACCAAAGCCTTTTGGCTAGAACCTTTTGTCTATATAATAACCGTGGCTAATTAAAGTGTATGTCATAAACAACTTATGTCAAAGCTGTTGGGTTGTGGGTCTCCTACATGACTTTTGTCAACGTTCTAACAGCAGAAAATAAAGCTCTATTTCCATTTCGATCGTCCTGGAATGCCTTTTGTGCTCTGAATTAAGTTTTCTAATGGTATTAAGATAGCAATCTATTTCATCTCGGATTAAGAGATTGTTAAACAAAGCTAAAGATTTTCTCAATATATTTGTGTATGACATATTCTATTATGTTATTGGACAATACGTATTTCTTCTATCGAATAGAATTTTATAGTTTATTTGTATATTTGATGTTAAATCATCTTGAAATTTAGATTGACTGCAATTATGTAAATTATTGTGTTATAAGAGGAGAATTATTATTATTATTATTATTATACACTTGTAATTTATCTTCAAATAAATTATTGAAATTATTATTATTATGCACTAAGAATTCTCTTTTACTATTTTAATTTCTAAGTTTGTATTTCAGATCTTCAAACTATGCATTGAGGATATGCGTTAATTTTAATTCAGGAAATCACATTTATGTTTTTACACCAATTTTGAATTTTTTTAATAGATTATATATATATATGCATTTATTAATTACATAATATACATAAATTTACCTTGAATTGGTTCAGGCAAAAGAAGAAATATGATGAATAAAAGAGAAAAAAAGAAAAGATCAGAAAGATAGGCGACGACCTTGACTATACATACAATGGGTTGGATTTTTCTGTGAGCAATAAGCAGCAGATCTCCCCTTATTTAGGGGCAAGCTGTTGGCCTTACGTGAATTCTTTCGAGACAAGGGCGGCCCGATTCGACATTGTAGTTTACTCTGATCTTCCTAGACTCAGTCTCTCACTCTTGCTAGCCCCTGTGAACATTTTTTATTAAAGAGGGTCTCTCTCTCTCTCTCTAACCCGTAAAAAATAATACACACAAATTAATTATAATATAATAAAAGTAAATTTCAAATGAAAATACATACAAAAAATTAGGGTAATATAGTCAGTGACCTTCTATTAAGGACATTAATTGTATAGCGAACATAATGAATCTTACGATCTAACCCATAGATTGGGGCTGTCACATATAATCCCCTCTTTACGTTTTTTAAGTTGTAGCATGCCATGATTTGACATGCCACATGTCACAATCTGATGATACAACCCTTTTGAACATAATTGACTTTTAATTTACAGTCGGTAAATATTGGGATTCACATACACAATCTGCATTTCTAGGATGGCTACAAATAAATGAAACTATCTTTTGATTTCTCTCATCTATCTTAAACATAATATTAACATGCCTTAAACAGACGGTTGATTTGCTAAACAAATGTATAAAATTTTATAAAGAAAAAAGCATTAGATTGTTAATTACTTTACCCACTTTTTTTTATTTTTTTTTTAATTTGGCTAAAACAAAGACATGCCCTGACACTATAAATTGAAAAGCATTCCCTCCTATATCCCCAAAAATTAACTGGCTTTTTTCAGCTGTTAATTGTATGTACTAACTACTTTATATGGTATTAAACCCCTCAAGAAAGAACACTAAATACTGTATATTGTGGCTGACTGACTTCCGTTCATATCATTGTTGTTGAAGGTGATGAAGCCTAGGCGACCACCTTGTACCCACAAACTGCTAAAAAAACATATGAAAATATGCAAGTATGATTAGTCCTTCACCGTGGTCTTTCTCCCAATTCCTTTCCTCATTCTTTTTGTTTTTGGTATACAAGATTTGAGAAAAAAAATAATAATAATAAAATAAAATTTGAACCAAAAGAAAATAAGAATAACAGTGACAAAGATGCCAAACCCCTTATCTTTACAAGCCTATTATATACTTGGTTATTTTCTCTTGATGCTGAAGACAGATTGGGCATTTTCCGAGCCATATGTTAAAATCCTGACCATCCCCAACCAAATTTTTAAGTTCTGCAGACCTCTATTTGCTCTCTACCAAACTGATCAAGATCCTGCAAATTGGCAGCTTCCATCCTTTTTATTCCTATGACTTTTCCTTCCTGACCATACACCGTCCAAGTAATATTCTTTACACACCGAATACCACAACTCCTACGCTCTCCACCTCTCTTTAGTACACAATCTGCTCTGCAGTTAATTGTCGATCATTTGTTCCACACAGGTTTGCAATGAGCTTCTGTAATCAATATAATAAAGAAGAAACACACAAAGAAGTAAGTAGCACAAAAAGGCACTGGAAGTATATGCATAAATAGGCATTGAAATACAAAACCCTTTACAGGCCCAATCCCCATCAAGAACACATCTTTGACAGATTTCAGGAAATATTATGAGTTTAACAACATATCTAAACGAACGGATAATTGAACTCTCTTTTACTGACAGTTCCCACAATGATTATAAATTTCAATACATGGGAACTTTCATAAACAAGAATATGACACATGCAACTGAATGCATCTCTAAGGCAATGTTTGGCACAAATCTAGTATTTTTGACATTCGGTTGTAACCCTCCACTTACTCCAATTGACCTCGTGTGGAATTTATAGATAAAATTTGGAATACACGTGAAATTCCAAATATGGTCAAGTTTTATCATCTTCTAAAGGTGTGAGTTGGATTAAGCGTGGATTTAGAAATGAACTCTACAAAATCTTGAACTTGTTCTTAAAGTAGTCTAATTTACTAAATTTAAAAGTTTTGTCATCATTTCAGGCCGCAATAAAATTGAAGGACGAGCAAGGCTCCAGTGAAAGGTTTAAGCATCTCTTCTTCAATATGATTTGACATTTATTTTTCTCCCCAGAACAGGAAGTTAAGTCAAAAGCTCCTTATATTGAAATTGATTTCCAAAATTGATTTCGAAAGATGCTGAACACCAAGCCGGAGCAAATTTCACTGCAAAATTTTAGCTAGCAATATTGGAGGTAGATTCCTAGATACCATGAGATTGCCAAACAGTAGGTGTCTCGTGCAACTGTACTTGCAACAGCTCCAAGATTCAACGGTGAGTAGTCCTAAAATAGGTTGAGATCCTTCATTATCTCTCAATTATGTCTACTCTAACTAGTCATATCTAATCTTCAGAAATGAACTCAATCATTCACATTATACCACCAAGTTTAAAATCACACATCAAAAGGTGAGTTAGGCAAGTTCCATGCATTTATGGGTTCCACTCAAACCTATTCCATTCTACTATTCCTAGAACTGAATAATCATAACAGTATACTTGCTTCACGATTGATCTAACTCCACCTCTATGTTGAATTCCATAATAAGAGATTTATATTCTTACTTGTTGAGATAGAATTCCAAATTAATCTAATGCTAGTTTTATTCAATTCTTTACTTTATTTGTATTGTAGTCTTATTGTTTTTTAGAAGAAAAATATATATATTATAAATGAAGAAGATTGAGAGTTTGGGAGAAGAGAAAAATCATCTATTATTATTATTGGACACAAAGATGCTAATTTATAGGCATTTGGTCAAAACAAACAAAAGAAGTTATGAAAAATATTCTAACAGTCTAACGGGGTGCAATGGTAGTGGGCATTTCCCAGCTGTCTTAACAACCTAGTAATACTAATTTACCCCCTAGTGTATTT